GGGAACTATTTTCTGCTCAGGACATGCTGTTGACCATGATCCCAAATCTCCTCAGAGTGCCCTGTTGACAGGCTAGTTGCAAGAAGAGGTGTGGCAGCCCAGGCTGAGTGCAGGGCCAAGGGCTGCTGCCGGCTTCCTGGACCGCTGGGAGGAGGTGGAAGAAGGTGGAGGCTCAGGAGGAACTTGAAACCACCGATATGTGTTGCTTGCAACTTTTCTATTCGGGGCCATTCCCTGAACTAGAACAGTGTGGTGACCAGAAGGGGCACAGCAAACTCTCCTATCATAGGAACCCTGAGGTCCAGATGGGCCCAAGTCCCCTGTGAACAAGGCTGGGTGATGGGAGGAGGTGGCCCAGGTTGAGGGACCCCAGTGGGTGAGAGGAGGTGGCCCAGGACAGGGAACCCAGAGTACAGGGAGGAGGTGGCCCAGCATAGGGCACCAGAGTAAGGGTAGGAGATGGCCCGGGTCAGGGAGGGGGAGAGGCAGAGGTGTGGAAGAGGTGACCCAGGCCAGCAGCTCTCAGGCAGGTTGTGAGCCAGAGGTGCCTGGCACGATGGTGACCTACAGCTCAGAGTCCAGGTCCCCCAGGCTCAGCTGGCAGTGAAGGTGGGGAAGGAGGGGTCACGAGCGGCCTTTCCTTCCCAGCTCTGTTGTCCTTGGGGCCCCAGGGCGATGGAGCCCCAGCCCATCATTGCTAACCCTAAGTCATTCTCTGGGGGTGCCTGTTATCTTCCACTGGGTTCTGCCTCTCAGCACTGTCCAAGCAGCCTTCACCCCTGGGTGGGCAGTTCAGCCTGCTCTGCCCTGTTCCTGCACAGCAGCCCACACCATTGTTCAGGGAGGTGGGAATCACCTGGGGCTAGCAGGCCAGGGCTCTGCAGAGGGGGCACTCCCTGGGTTGGCCATAGCCGGGCCCTGTTGGGTAGACTGAACCAGGTCACAACTCTGCCTGAAAGGAGATATTCTGTGGCAGGGGTGGCTGGGGCCTCTGCCCCTAATGTGGGACAGTGGAAGGGAGATGAGGGGTGCAGAGTTGGGGTGCTCAGGGATCTGAAAGCAAGGCCTGGGGGCACACAGTGAGCTCCTGCCCCTCAGGTGAGGACCCAGGAGACCCTGGGGGATGGGATGGCCAGGTCAGGAGAGGCCCTGCCCCACCCAGGCCCTCTGCACCTGCCCCTCCTTCCAGTGCTGGGGAGGAGCCCTGCTGGGTAGCCCTAAGGAAGTAGGTCTGGAGCCCGCCCTCCAATGGCCATTTCCTCCTCTTTGCTTGGGCAGGGAATGGCCAGGATGCAGCTTTGGTGCACAGCGTGCCTTCTGCTCACACTGCTGGACATCCTGTGGGGTCAGACTCTGAGTACCCAGCCTGTGCCATCTCCATCCCAGATGCAGAGCTTCCAAGCAGAACAGGTATGGGGCTCCCAGGCAGGCAGGCAGGCAGCTGACCGAGTGTGGGGAGAGAGGAGCCCATGCATTTCAGGGGGCACTGCCCAGGAGTGTCCAGGCAGGTCAGCCCACTCTACCAGGGCTGGGACCCTCCTCTGAGGACTCCCAGACAAGTCTTCAGCCTCCAACAGAAAAGACTCTGAACAGAGTTCTTGGGTCTCCCTCCTGCAACCCCTCCCAATCTCTCTCCATATGTGGGGAAACGGAGGCTCAGGAGGGCCACTCATGTCAGGGCAGCTCTGGCTCCTGCCAGTGTCACTGGCACAGACCTGGCTCCGGGGCCACTTGAGGGGTCCATGGCAGGTGGGATGGAGCTCTGTCCCTGTACCACCTGCCCCTGCAGTTCCAGGGAGAGTGGCTTGTCCTTGGACTGGCGAGCAACACCTTCCAGAAGGAGCACCGGGCCCTCCTGAGACCCTTCACGACCACTTTTGAGCTGACTCCTGATGGCCACTTCAAAGTGTCAAACGCCATGACCCGGTGAGTGGCTGTCCCTGCCATCCCAAGCAGGTGAGGACCCCAGGCCTGTGTCCCAGTGTCCACAACTCAGGTACCCTCTGGACTTTGTGGCCATGTCCTGAGGCCCCTTCTAATGCTAAGTTCAGCACTGGTGGCTTAATGATTGGCTGCCAGTGACCAAACCCAGCTCAGAAGGTAAGCATTTCCTGGGCTGCAGATCTGTATGCCTAGAGCTGATGGATTTCAGGTACAGCTGGATTCAGGAGTACAAACACTATACTCAGCCCCCAACCCCACTTCTACCTGTCCCACCTGCCCTCTGCTCACATGGCAGACAGCCCAAGCTGACAGGTCTCAGGTTCCCAGTGAAGCAGGGAGGAGGCATCTAGGCCAGCCTGGGAACAGCCTCTGATTGGCTCTTCATGAGTCATGTGCTCTTCCTGAACAGGTCACTACAGGCAAGAGGGCAGGGGCTCTGATTGGCTGGGAGAAATAGGTCCTTGGTGGGCAGCCTGCAGGACTCCTGTGGGGGGTAGTACAACCCCTTTGGGGGATAAGGATACCATTATCGGCTTCTCCACCCTTGCCCCTACCCCCACAGGCTCAGCTGCCCTCCTCGATCACCTGCCTGGCCTGCAGTGGGAGGGGAGGACCAGGTAACCTCACTGTTTAGAGATTTTGGTTCCATGTAGCATAGTGTCTATAACACACTTGGAGGCTTGGTGGTGTAGTCCCAAAGTAGCTCCTACTAGCAAGGACAAGGGACAGGTCAGCCTTCAGGGGACTAGGAGCTACACTCTGCCCTTTGCCCCAAGCCTGTGGCAAGCACAGTCACCACCAGCCCTGGAAGTCATCCATGCAAACCTGTCACTGAGAAGTCTCCTGTTCCTGGGAAAACCCTGACCCGTCCCAGAGAACACAGAGGACTGAACCCTTGTCACCCTCCCCCCACCACGGCCCTTGACCCTCCTGGAGGGGCAGCATGTGACTTGTCCCTCCTAAGGAGCACAGCAGACCCCTAGAGGCCTTGACCATTCTCATGCTGGTGGCTCTTCTTTGGCCTGTAAAAGAACCCCAAATTCACGTCATGCAATGATGAAGAAAGGACATTTTCAGGAATAAATCCCTAGTTCCTGACTTGGGGCCCGTGGTTGATTAATGGGGGAGGCCAGGGGACCCAGCATGAATGCAGCTCAGCCACGAGGGCACCTGAGCAGCCTTCCTGTGCCTCTTCCCGCAGGCCAGGCTGCACTTTGTCACTTCTCAAAAAGCACATTGCCCTGCAGTAGTGGATGTCCTGCTAAGGACTGAGTGAACTGCAGGTTGGGGCTCCCAGGCCACCCCATAACAGCCCCAGGCAGCTGCCTCCATCCTGTGCCTTTCCTCACTTCCCCTGAGCCGTCAGCCTTGGCTCCTGCAGCACTGAGCAAAGCCCAGGAGCTTGCTGGCCGTGATGCCCACAGGATGCACCTAGCACTCCCAGTGGGAGGCACCCCCCAGAAAATGTCCTTTTTTCATCAAAGCATGATGTGGATTTGGGATTCTTTCTCACGCCAAAGAGGAGCCACCAGTGTGAGAATGGTCAAGGCCACTGAGAGGTCTGCTGTACTCCTTAGAAGGGACAAGTCACATACTGCCCCTCTAGGAGGGTCAAGGGCAGCCAGGAGGGTAGGGCAAGAAGGGTCTAGTCCTCTGTGTTGTCTGGGATGGGTCGAGGCCCAAACAGGGCTCCTGGCCACTCCTGCTGTGGGTCCCTATGAATGGACAACTGAATTCCTCATGGGGGGCACTCTGGCTGGGCTTGGGCAACTTCCAGAGCCTTCTGCTCCTGCCCATCACTCCCACAGGGGCCGACACTGCAACGCTTGGTCTTATGTGCTGGTCCCAGCAGCCCAGGCTGGACACTTCACGGTAGACCACAATGCAGGTGAGATGGCCATGGGTGGGTAGACTGGGCGCTGGCCAGGACGGACCTGATATCTGTGCCCTTCCAGGGCCAGGGGCCAGCAGAGAGGAGATCCAGGTGGTAGACAGTGACTACACCCGTTTTGCCTTGCTGCTGTCCCACAGACAGACAAGCAGCTTGACCGTGGTCAGAATCAGCCTGCTGGGTGAGCCCCACCTTGCTTAAGGCCTGAAGGCATGTTTGGGCAGACCCTGCCTGCCTACCCACCAGGATGCTGGGGGCTGTTGCACCCTTTCACCAGACACTAAGAGCCACCTATGCTCATTTGGCCACAGGCAGAAACTGGACACTGCCCACCGGGATGATGGACAAATTCCTTTGCCTAGGCAGGACTCAGGGCCTCTCGGAGAGAAATGTCGCCTTCCCAGACTTGGCTGGTAACAGGGCACAGGATGGGATAGAGCGTGTGGGGCCTAGGTGGTAGAGGGGGGCCCTGCCCTGGGCCTCAAAAGCCCTGGGTCCCCTGAGGGTTGCTGTGAGGTCTGACTGGCTCCCAGTGCCTGTTCTTAGAGCCAGCCTGGGCCAGGCAGGCTAGGAGGCTCATGGCTCCTTGGTCTCTGCCATCCTTAACTTTGGGCTACCTCCTCCTTACCTCCCCTGGAGTCCCTATCTGCACCACTTCCTCCCCAGTCCCCTGAGGTCCCTGTCTGGGCCACTTCCTCCGCAGTCCCCTGGGGTCTCTGTCCTGGGCCATCTCACCTTCCTTGGAGTCTCTGTCTGGGCCACTTCCTCTCCACCTCCCCTGTCCTGGCCACCTCCTCCTTGCACCCTGCCCTGCTCACCAAAAACTTGGGCTCACCTCAGGAGAAACTCTATGCCCTCAGCAGCAGCCCCAGCCCCACCACCAGAGCCTCCAAGGCCTGGCCCTTCCCAAGAGGGATGAGGACACCCCTAGGCCTTCCTCCTGGAACATTTCCCACTGTGCCCTCAGGTCTGGGCTCTGGTCCTTTACATGAACACAGCCCCTGTACGCATTTGCATGTGTGCACACAAACATGTACTGGCAAACACACGCTTGCACACTCAACACACATGAGCACATGCATGTCTGTACACACCAGCACACATGCCTGTACACCCATCGTGCTGGGCCACTGGGTCTGCAGTGAGTCTGGGGGCTGGGCAGGGGTTTACTGAGCACTGAGGCAGGCAGCAT